AGATTACTTCTTTATTTCTTCAGCTTCCAACCTGCTTCCTGATGTTTCCAGCCTCAGTCAGAGGATCCATAGCCAAATTATGATGCAGGTATCTGTTCAGTGATTGTACATGTCCATTCAATGTTTTCACAGGACTAAGATTTATGAAATATTTTAAAGTACATAGAGATAAAGCCTTATCTTACACTATATGGAGGGAAGAGACGTCAAGTGAGAATGCAGTGAGCACCCTTGCCCCAAAAAAGGATCAGGTTTATCCCTTCTCATTCTTGACAGAATTCTGCAGGCAGCCTTCTGTCTGTACTTACCTTCTCCTTTAGAAAGTGTTCTGCTAATGTTTAACTGAAATCTCTCTTGCTGCAATTTAAACCCATTTTGAGGTTTATAGTTTAGGCCCATCATTTTTTCTCTTATCTTGGTGGAAGAGGAATGTAGCTCCCAGTAATTTTTACGTATTTGGCTGTAAAGTCTTTCCTCATATTTCCCTAACTATTTACGCCAATTTTTTTCAAAACCGGACACACCTTTCCAGCTGCAGCCTTACCAGTATGAGTGATCTAGAAGGATTACTCCTCATTTCTTCCATACAACGTACGAGCTAATATACCAGGAAATGTTTGAGCATTTTTATTAGCAGAACACTGTTGACTCACATTCAGCTCATTTTGACTCCACATTCTATTCTGTCTTGTGAGTCATCTGCTCTGTTGTGATTGTGAAGTTAATTGTTTCACCCACACTAAATGCTTTTTACTTGCCAAATTGAGTTGTATCTTGCTTTTTTAAGCTGTCCAATTTGTCAAAATTGGTTTGAACTCTTATCCTGTTCTTCCAGTACTTGCAATGGCTCCCAACTTTGTGACATCTGAAAGGATTAATAAATTCTTCCTGTCCTCCATCATTCAGGAAATATTGAATTATGCTAGAAATAGAACAAACCCTATGAACTACTTCATCCATCTATCTACTTTGACAGTAAGCCATTGATAACTGTTATGAATACAATCTTCCAACAAGCGTCTACCTGCCTTACACTAGTTTACGGCCATTCTTATCCCTGGCTTTTAAACTACTCTTCTGTTTGGCACATATCATTTTCATCCATCATAGCATGCTGGTAGTGATTATGTTTTTATTCTCAATTTGTTTCTAGGTTGAAATGAAGTAGAGCAGGTTGAATGCTCAATGAGTTAATGTTCTGTGTGCTGTATGTCTATTAGTATTTGCTGAACTCGAATTGTTTTCTAAAAATAGATTGAAAGTTTCAGGACTTCCTATGAGCCCATCCTGAGAACTGGTGAATAAAGCAAAAGAGCAAATAAATATCCTTGAAATTTTCTGTGCGTAACTCTCTTAGTCTGTCTCAATTATAATACTTCGGTGAGGATGGAGCCTTTTGTGTTTATTAATTTGCCTCATAAGAGATGCCGACACTTCTCTCTTTCTGAGCTCCATTCAATAGATTCTGAATATAGAAATACTGGTGTATTTCAGCCTGTGTGATTTGGATATATTTGATGTTTAATAAAATTCAGCTCCTCTTATAGTAATTAAAACAGTAAACTTTGTAGCTTTTTGTTGTTTGAAATTGAAACGTGACTTTTTCTTTGACTCTTAGCTTCTGGCAAAAGGTATATGGGCTGAGACAGCAGATAGAAATATATATAGAACTATTGAAATAACAGGTTGTGTCAATATGTTTATACAAAAAAAACCAACCCAATTTTTATGTCTTAAAAGTCAGAAACTGTAATTCTGATTGAGGCACTTTTTTACATATTTAATCTTTCTGGTATCTTTCAAACCATAGACAAGGGCTAGACTCTTCTATATGTTAAGAGACAAATTAAAATACATATCTAGGAAATATCACTTTATTGAAATAATTAACTTGTCTCAGAGGAAACTGGAGAATATGAAATGTGGCATCTTATAAAAGTCATCTGTAGGCTAGACCTAACTATGTAAGTTAGGTCTTAAAAAAAAACAACAAACAAGGGAAATTGCCTAAAAAAATAACGATAGAGGAAAAGTTAAAGTTGGCTTGATACAAATGCCATTGGAATAAAGTTTTGCTGAAATTTGGATCAGCTCTAATAGTGAATAAAATTAATGTGTACTAAATTCTAGTGCCCTAAGTTTGCATTAACATCCTTTTTACGAATCATCTCATTTATAACAATAAATCACTCTCCTTAACCAGGCTGCTATCGAAGAAATGGCCCTACTCTTCTACTGAATGTATTTTGCACCTAGCATGTGATAAATGTTTATTATTACTATCTTCTGTGTTTTATTGTTCCTCTGTTTTCATTCAAAAAATTTAACAGAAGCATACTCTTCAATGTTTTGAAGAATAACTTACGTGCCCTCCTATAAATGCTATAAAATAGTTAAATTACATGAATGTTGTACTTCAAGGCTGCTTCATTGGTTTTGCAAGTGCTGGATTACATTGTATTTGTCAGGGTCCTGAGCACAACCTCCTTCAAGGATTTCGTTGGGTGTGTTTGGAAGTGCAGCTGGCTGCATCCACGGTCAGCTCCTTTGCTGATACGAGCTGTTGTGAAGAAAGCTTCATGCAGGGGCTGCCCCTCCTTTTCCTTGGGAGCTGCTGTTTGGCTGAGGCTCTACTGCTGGCCCCCGGCTGTGCTACCTCTGCACCCAGTCTTGTATTTTCAGTTCCGACCCAGATCCAGACGCTCTGGCTCGGTTTCCTGCCTCAGACCTGCCTTGTTGCTGTGGACTCGCTGCGTGACCATCAGACTGTGGCTCAGCCTGGCCACTGTCTCTGGATCTGAGTGTGACCCTGACTTGCCGCTCTGCAGTCTGGCTCCTTGCCGGTGAGGTCACTGCTCCTGCCTGCCTTGTTTCCACACTCTGCTCCCAACTCACCTTTAACTGCAGGGCAGCTGGCCTTCCTGTTCCTAACCCCACTTGCCCCATGTTGGAATGAAAAAGCACTGATTACATAAGGAATTCCTTGGGAACAAGAGGTTACTCTGGTTTGGCAGTTGCAGACATAAGATCAAAGTTCCATTTTCATCCAGAATTATATTTATAAAATATGCAAGACAGCATCCCAAAATATTTTATGAAAATAATTTACAAAAGTGTAGGTTACAAGACTGCTATTAGGTTATGTTTAGTGGTTGATGTAGCAGGCATATTGCTTTATTCTAACTGCCTTGCAGCCCCTTGCTCTTAGCTTGGTCCTGTACTCAGCTAAGAAAGGAAGGTCTGATCAGATTGTTAGTATTACAATGTTGAAGATAAATGGATTCTAGAATTCACTAAAATGCGTCTCTATAAATGATAAAGACCAGGAACATTTCTTTATTCACCATAAATACATGAATAGATAATCTCAGCGTTTCAGCCAGAGTGTCATTTCAAAGAAGCTTATTTAACAGAAACTGTCCCACGTGAAAGAAAAAGAACTATTTGAAGTCTCCACAGCCATGCTAGTCCCAGTAGAGGAATCAAAACTAACAGATTTACGTAAATATTGATTGACATCTAAAAAATCCTGACAATACTTATCAAAGAACAGGTAAAAAAGAAAAAAAAACGGTGAGAGTTAACGAAATCTCTGATCAGGCCCAGTAACAGGAATGTATGATCCAGGGTGTGAACTTGACCACTCTATTCAACATGCAAATCTTAACAAGTATACGGGACAACATAGAATTCTTACCTTCTTTTATTTTAATGTATTCCAAAGACCTGGTGAGTTACTGTCAACATCTGCCCATAAACTGTGCCCTTCAGCTCTGTAAGTACAGGCCTGTGAAAAGAGACGCTCTTTAGGCCTCAGAAGAATCCTCCATGGTTTAAAGGAACCACTGCAGTGGTGGCTTCGGTTCCCCTTAGGCACTCTTACTCTTCACTTAACTTTGTGCTCTCTTTTCACGGAAAAATGATTTTTTGAAAAATAGACTTCAAAAACAGGATTAAAAGGGAAAAAAATTTGCTGTATTTCAATTTAACATTTAGAATTGTTTTCCCTAGGCTTAGTCAGACTTCTTTAGTTGATTATTATCTTTTTATTATGGTGGACGTTACTAGGCTGTTATGAACACTATTTAGATTTACCATTAAACATTCAGTAATGCACTTTCCATACTGAATCTTGTGACTATAAAATCATGTTATACATGGAGAAGTTTTGGAAAGAAAAAAAAGATTTTAGTATTTCTTCTGTTAGATATCCATGAAAGCTACAGGAGTTTGCAGTGGATCTGGCCCCATATTTAATTGGGCGATCCTTTGCAGATATCTTCCTGCTAGCCCACTGACAATTTATATTTTGCTACACTACAGATAATTTTTTTCTCTATCTTTAAAAACTTTTAACCTAATGAAGTAGGTGATAGCAGCTTACTGAGGTCATTGTTCAACAAGTGATCCTCCTAGCGTAAGGACAATGGAGTGACTTTAGGAGTTTGCGGTAGTGGTCACTGTGCTGAAAGACATACTGAAAGACATGCTGTCATTCTCCAGTAGAAGTTTAGGCACTTGATTTGGGACTAAAGGGAACAACTGTAGCCTGCTTTACGTACAAGAACAGATCAAATAATGGTTTTGGTTTTAAAATATTTGAAACAATCTGACAGATATAGTTAACAGTGTTTACAGATAAAGTTTACCACATGGTTGTCTTCTGTTTGTGAATTCTGTGGGGAAACGATGAATTTTGGTGGGAGGTAGGACAGAAACCAAAAAGTTTATCAGGAAAAAGATGTAAAAGTTAATACGTGTCACAGGTATGATTAATTATTGGGTTTTGGACCACAATTTCGTTGCACTTGTAATTAAATCAAGGTAGGTGACCTCTTTTTTGAAAATCTCAAATTCTTCTTTATCCTTGGCACTAAAAGGCAACTTAATTGGACCTTTAGCAGTTCAGTTTTTATACTAATATTTGCATATATCCATAAAAATAGCTGAAAAGCTGAATTTGGGTCTGTACCTGACCTTTTTCCCCCCCATTATTGTAGCTATAATTAAAACAGCTCTTCCCAACATGGACAGAGAAGCCAAAGAAGAATACTTTGTGGTCATCCAAGCGAAGGACATGGGAGGACATATGGGTGGACTTTCTGGAACTACAACAGTGACAATTACACTCACTGATGTTAATGACAATCCTCCTAAGTTTGCGCAGAGTAAGTGCCGTTATGCATATGTGTTCTCCTCTGTAAGAAAGTAATATAGTGGGTTGTTTTTTTTTTTGTAATCATCATCATGTTGCCTGGGTTTGTAATGTAATATAAAAACATGTAGCTGCTGCTAGAGAAAGATTAATAGTCCTCTGCCTGACAAAGAGCCTAGGAGAGAGGCAGTTATGTCCACAACAGTGTCCGCAGCTTTGTCTTCCTTGTTTACCCCTCTTATGTTCACGCAAAAGGGCTTGGAGGCTTTTTTTTTTTTTTTTCATGTATTTATTTGCTTTCAGTGTGGTTGTTTCTAAGTGCTAGCTTTAGTTGCTGTTATAGGTACTTCCACCTTGTGCAGTCAAGTGACACCACCAGTAAAAGACATATATAACTGATAAAAGGAATAAAGGTTTGACTAATTAGGTAATAGTGAAGAAAACAAAGAAAATAAGTCCGAGTCTAGATAATTGTTGTTCTTTAATTCAGAATCCATATTTACTACTCTGGTACCAATGGATATCTTGCTGGGCTAGGTTAAAATGATTTGGCATCCTGCTGAGATTCTCTGCAAGCTTTGTAGTCTATTTCAAAGATGAAGACAAAAAGAAAAAAAAAGAAGAGGGAAGAGCATAATGACTGGACCGATTTTATTTGGAACAGGTGCAATCTAATGCACTATTAGAAACTTATCTCTTTATCCAGCTTGTTCTGGAAAACTAAAATTGTAAGGTATTAAGAGTCTGTTCTGGGGTTGGAGGATGTTCACATTTAGACTTTATATCATTTTTACATTGTTAGAAGCATGTTTTTCTAACAGAGTACTTAGCACCCAGTGTAAAAATAATTGTTTGGCACATATATATGACCTGAAGTCCACTTTGGCCTTGTGCTGAAGACACAGAGAGTGAAATGGGTTTGTCCTGGTACTCGGCATATGAGAAACACTCTCTTATAGTCTAGAAAATGCGGGAACAGAGAGAGAGAGAAAAAAAAAAAAAAAACAACATAAAATAAATAAGCAGAGGTAAAAGCTTATTTGCAAAATATGTATTTTATAGCTCATCGTAGTGTTTCTTAACGGATAAGCACTCTGTGCGAAATAAAAGGTTTTCTCTCATTATAAAATAAGAAATGCACAAATTGTTTACCTCATATCACATTGGATTGCTTTCACTTGTGTAGTGGTGCTTTCCAACATACGATGACAATTTCCCTAATAATGTAACCATCTATAGGTGAGACTCCTGGCTGAACTGTATCGCCAGAATGCAGAAGGACATTTCTTTTATCCCTGCAATGTGCTGCAGCTGTAACTCAGTGGCTACAGATCTACTTTTGCCAGCTTACCTGGCTTTTATATCTGTATCAGCACTTTCTGTCTTAAACAGCCTTTGCCTGCCAGTGTGGAAGAAGCTGATCAGAAAATCAGTGACACAACTGGTACTAATTGGCACATTTGCTGGAGGTCTCGGCAGGAAGCACAGAAGTGAATGCATATGGAGGTGAAGCTGTTCTTTCCCTGTGCAGTTACTCATATCTGTTCTCCTGTAGTTTGGATACAGTGACACACTGACTGCGTGGCATGAGGAAGACTGCATCACAGATCCCTGAAATATGTTTTCTCTATGGAAAATGTAGATTAGTTTTCCTTCAACAAGAGTGAGTTGCTGTCTTTGAAGCTGTTGTAGCTAGTGCATACCAGTGCAGAAGTCAAGCTGCCATCTAGGAGAAACTACCCTGTTACAACACTGACCATTATGCAACTTCATTGGGAAAAAACTGCATATACTATAACTTTGTATTACGTATATATTGCATTTAATAAGGATGAGCCATAGTAAATATTCTAACTGGATGCTATTACAAATTCTACCTTCTAAAACTAAGTATTCATAGCATGCTGCCTAGCATTACAGATTAGTCGTGACTCTGGCCTTATACAAGAGCTGATCAAGTCTAACATTATTTTACACCGTTGCAGCACGGTTTGCATTTGCCTGGAAAAGAAAATAAGAAAGGATCAAACTTACAATAGAGCCTAACCGGAATGAAATAGAAATTCATAAGATGTAATACATGCTGCTTTCACAATAAATTGTAATGAACTCAGAAAGCAGTGTGTTTTATCGGTTTATTGTTTCCAGGCAGGGCAGAAATGTATATTTATGGTTTGATTTGAAAGAGTGCTAGCCTCCTGGGTTTTACAAATGAAAAAGATGAACTTTCACTACTTCTATGATCTCTTTGAATTTCAGAGGGATTTTATAAGTCACAGAATTTTTTAACCTGGCAGTTTACCATAGGATTGTGCTGAGAAGAACTGTGTACAGCTGTGAAAACCAAGGGTTTTCAAACATGCATAATGTGGATTTTTGGTCATCTCTGCACTGTCTGGACAGGACAATTCATAAGAGCAATTTGTGTAAAAGTCAGCTGCGTCATAGTAATTTTTTTTTTACAGTATTTTGTAAATTATCTTAATAAATCTGAGAGAAAAGTCTCAACTTAAAAATGCAATCAATTGTGTCTGGAGATTCAAACCACAAAGTGTGGACGGCAGTATAAGTTATGAACGAATAATTTAGTCTCCTGAGGCACTTGATTGCTTTGACTGCTCATTGCTTATGAACCATCATAAATATTCTTGAGGAATCTTGATGATCTCCAAATTATCTGTAATAATTTAGCCTAGAAACATTAAAGAAAAAAAATTCACTTTGGGACAGACTAATATGTATAGCTAATATATGTATTTGTGAATTCCTCACAGTTTCCTTCCTACTTTCAACTGTTGCTACTGTAATCAGCCTACAAACAGTTAAAGCAACAACTCCAGAACATTTTGTTTTAGAAAACTACTAGCTACATGTAACAATGAAAACTGCATGTTGTCTTAGGACAACTGTGAGGACAGAAAAGAACAAGTCCAGAACACTTTGTCAAAAACTATTTTGTTGGTCTCATCTGCTAACCTTGAATTCCTTTTGACTGTTTTAACTGCTAAGTAGCACTGCAGTTGATTAGATCATGTATGAACAGTAGCTTCAATAAGTGTGAATTACCAAGAGGTAAAAAGCTAGGCACTCCATAATGGTTTTTTCATGTAAACCGTGCACGTGTCTTCTGTTTTTCAGAGTACTGATAAGAATGGGTGATACCATGGTAAAATGCTCACCTAAAATAATATATTACAAGTTCTTAAATAGATTTTTGACACTTCTTAGGTCAGAAGATTTGAAGCAAGTATTAAAAAAAAAAAAAAATGCTGACAAATTGAATAATAGCACTTTCTAGTGGATTTTAGTCTAACCCTACAACTGAATGGAAAATATAGTAATGATTGCTATGAAAAGTTATTGTTTCCTTTAAAACATAAATTTTGGGAGTTTCCTTTAATGTTTCCTACTTAGTATCTAACCACAAAAGGGAGGTGGAGGAGCTCTATCAAACAAAACCAAATAAAATTAAAAGGGTCAAAAAAGTAGTAAGATCTGAAATTGTATAAGGTATCTTTAAAGTATCAGACCAGTTTTCTACAGAGTAAAAGTCAAAGTTTAGTAGTTGAATACAACTACATGTCTGCAAATAAAATGGTGAGGTCAACTGTGTCTCTAGTAGAGACCATTGCATACTTTCAGTGTTGAGAGTAGCTTAGTATTTATGTTTGCTAACGCTAAGCACCCCTGCAAGGAAGAAGCATGATACTGCTGTAATGAAAAGAATATTCACAGACAGTAAACTGAATATTCTTATATAATGAACACATTTTGCTGCTTTCAGCAAATAACTTGTGTAAATGTGGTTTGTATCAGTTGCATATCTCAAGTCTGGGGAAGTATAAAAAAATGAAGAGCACACAGGAGATACTGGAATCAGGTGTAATGTCTTTTCCTCTTATTTGTAAGGTCTGTATCACTTCTCAGTAATGGAAGATGTTGCTCTTGGTGAACAAATAGGAAGGGTGAAAGCAAATGACCTGGACACTGGAGAAAATGCCAAATCATCCTATGATATTATTGAAGGAGATGGAATGGATATATTCGAAATTACTACAGATGCCCAAACTCAGGATGGCGTTATTAGAGTGAGAAAGGTAAATGATATCTCTATTTAAAAAGATGTTTATTGTACATACAATTACCCAGCCAGACTTTACTGTGTAAGAAGATGCTGAATTTCCAAGGATTCTTTTATCCATGGGTGAGGTATCAAGCCAGTGAAGTGATAAAAAAGGGATATATTAGCCATGTCCCTCAAAATTGCCATTTAGATGACAACTGGGGAGACATCCGCAGAAGTATTTCAGTGCTGGGAATGTGTTAATTTTATCTGGGCTTCCACATGGTCAAACCATGCAGGTTTTGCTTCCTTGGTTCCAAAGGAGAAGGGTAGATTGGAATCTGCTTTGGTCGTGGTGTGAACTTCCGTAAAATCTTGGCTGAGTATTCATCAAATACTTTTTCTCTATTATTTGATTTGCTGCATAGCTGGTCAAATACTGTTCAGGGGATAAAACAATAAGTCATAGCATTTAATTTAAATTACCTGGTGTGTAAGAGGCTCAGTCATCCACCTTTTCTCATGTTGAACTCTCTTTGCTCAAAGAATAGTGATTTCAGTGAACATTATCAAGGAGATCAATACTATTTCACATGAGAAGTGCCAAATTCAGGTCCTAAAGAAGGCTTCAACTCTGTTACCTTTTCTATGCTTGTACAGTTTGATGTATGCAAGCTGAGGTATTTACCTTTATACAACAGAAGTTATATACAGAAATATGGGGAGAGACAGTGTATCTAGAACAAAACTGGGCTAGTAAACTCAATGAAACATTAATTGCAGATTTAATTTTCATTCTTTTCTGAGGAAGGAGAAGAGAGCTGATTTTCATGCGGTGTTCTGAAAAAAGATATGAACATAACTTACCACACTGGCATTGAGATTCTTAAATACATAGCATAGACTACTCTAAATTAATCTTTGTTTTGGTTTTAAAACAAACAAAAAACCCCAACAAAAAACAAAATATGACATTCCGGTGAAAAAAGAAGAATCCAATGAGTACAGGTAGTTAATACTTAACTTGTACCTGTAAGTAAAGAGGTCAGGCAGAGTACCTGTCAAAAGTTTATATTTTCTGTTTCTCAGGGAGTAGGTCAGCACTGTAGATGTATAATGAAGTGATGTATATTTATCTAAATTTAGATGTTTTCCTAAAGAGAAATTTGCGATATACATCCCTGGTCTTCCTTACAGTTATTTATTGTATGCTGTGGCCTCTTTTGTAAACTAAGGCAATTAGCCTTTTGCCCCAGTTCCCCTGGCTTTATTTCATAACTGAGTCTCTAACATAATGTTGTTTCATGTATTCATTTTGACAGCAATAATCATTTTGGTTCTACTACAGTAGATGATGTATGGAGGGTACTGTTCACCAACAGATTTTCTCCAGCATAAATTTGTGGGTGTTAGACAATGCAGAGTAAATTTTCAATATGATATTCTGATTAAACGTGACTAAATGTATCGGGGTGCTGTCATTTCTGTAAAGCATATGAAAAGCAATTGAAAAAATGATACAGGAGCTATGATTGGCAAATTGTGAATATGCTGATTTACAAATCACCATTCATAATTACAAAAGCTTACTAATTTAAGAGCTGCTAAAGAAGCAAGGTTTTCTCATGTTTACTAGAATTTGTGAGAAAGAGCAAATCCCATCAGAGCTTGATTCATACCTGAAAAAAAAAACAAGAAAATTTGAAACTATACATATTGAAGGCTTTGACAGACTGGCTGAAGGTTCCTATTTGTGCTTTTGCTGGTATTTGCATTGCAGATTCAGAGTTTCTATGTCCTTTTCTTTTTATCCTTGGGACATTGTAATGCAAATCTTAGTATCTTTCCAATACTTGGCAATTTGCATGTTTGAAATTTGAATCATTGAGAGACACAAGAGAATTATATAGTGAATATACTGACGTGCTTCAAGACACAAACTTGAATCTCCTATAATGAAAGATTCTAATAGTCAAAAGTGTTACAGATCTGGGCTTTATTTGGTATTTCATTCCTTTAAATCCACTGTGTTTTCATCTTTTACGTTTAATATGGATCTGGAAAATAGTAAAAACAATGGTGACATGGCAGGGATATTGATAGTACAAAGTAATCGGTTTCGTGTTTCTCTCTCTGAAAAAAAAATAAGATACAGAAAAAGGAATTGCTACAGTTTTAAGAAATTCCTGAGAGATGTCTACCTCATTTACCCCTATAAACAGAAATGCAGAGTTACCTGAAGTGCAATAATATTGAAGTAGTTTCTTAGATGATTAGCTCTACATTTTTCCACACAATGCCTCTCACGTCCAAGAAATAATAATTGCTAGTTCTTTGCGTTTCTCACATTGTTCTGGAAGTAATAAAATATTTATTCTTTGTGGAGCTAGTATAATTTTTTTTTCTTATCTCAAACTAACAAAGCACTGATTAAGTGCATGATTAGTATGCAAGTCATGTCATCACCAACGAATTTGTAGTATTTATCTGATATGTAATTATAATGGTATAATTCATGAGAGAGAATATTTTGGTAAATTTCTTGTGAAAAGCAAGAAAACAAAAAGTGTCTTGTTTTCTTTAAGGATGGTTAATAAACAGATAGTAACATATGCCTAGAAAATTTGCAGGTAGGATTTCTGGGAGTGGGAAGTGATTGCATTAAAACTCACTGAATGTGCTTAAATGCATGTAACTTTCATCCGTCAGCATTATATACACTTGTTCCTTCTCTGTGGCCATTAGTAAAAGACATTTATCTTTGTCATTCTTAACAGCCACTGGACTTTGAGACCAAAAAATCCTATACTCTGAAGGTAGAAGCAGCCAACATTCATATTGATCCTCGCTTCATCAGTGGAGGACCCTTCAAGGATACCGCAACGGTAAAAATTGTAGTAGAGGATGCTGACGAGCCACCAGTCTTTTCATCACCTACTTACCTACTGGAAGTGCATGAAAATGCTGCTATTAACTCTGTGATTGGTCAGGTGACTGCCCATGACCCTGACGTGTCTTCCAGTCCGATAAGGTAGTGCTGCTTTAAAGTTCTCTTTGAAAAAACTACTGGCAGAATACTAAGTATATTTTCCCATAGATTGTATGACGCTATATCATGCCATTTTATTTCTATGAAAATACTTGTAAAGGATTTCTTTTATGAGGTTAGATGTATCAGTTCAGATAATTTTCAAAATCACGAAAATGCTCCTTGCCACATGAGTAGTCTTATGAAACAGTAGGAATGCAATGAAAATAAGAAATAGGATGTATGAGGTTGGATGGGGTTGAATCATGAGTGTGTATCTCTGCAGTTATTTTAAATAATCTGCTAGGGTCTGCACTAACAAGACTGAGTTTGTTCCATGTAGTTGTAAGGTTGTCAAAGCATATTTTGTATTCCTTTAGCTAAACCCATTCCTGGTTTGAAGACAGAAAGTCAGAGATGATTATGCCCATATGACTTTTGCAACTTCAATAGACAATATTCTTTTTTTTTGATCTAACTTGAACAAAATCTGTTATTCCAGTTTCATCAGATCAGTGTTTTCTGTCACATTTTGATAAGCACACGTCTTCCCCTCTCCCTTTGTCATGTACGGTAGGGTGCCAGTGTTCCCAAAACACATTTTGCTATGTGTTTTGGGAAAAAGCATTATGAAAACAAACATCAAAATGACAAAATCACAGTAAAGATGTATTTGGAGACAGTCTGTTTAATAATAATCATCACTGTACATTACTGCCTTAGGGGATTTGAGCTATGCAAGCAGTCTTCAGCATTGTGAGGATGATGCTAATTGTTATAATCCATCACTTAAGACTGTTTTCTAATCATTGTCATTTACATGAGGTTTGTCGCAGAGCCAAACTTTAAACCTTTATTTAGGGGGCCTACATGCTGCATATCATATTTTAGTATTTTCATAATTAGAAATTTAGAGTTTCCAACATGTTTGGATGTATTAGAACTTGGGTATGAAGATGTTGGAGAGTGCTTTGGAGTCTCGCATTTCTAAATCATCCTTTCAAAACTAGCTAAATATAGCATTAACTATCATAGATATCTATTCAAATTAATTAATTAAATATATTTTCTACTGCAGCACACAACTCAGGCAGTGTTACTAGGCACCGAACTTATCTTCTTACCAGAGAAGCTCTCTGGGTGATCAAAGACGGTAATTTGATCATAGAAATAAGAAATAAATGACGGTAGTTACCCAGGTTAGAAAAATGTTACATAAACAGAAAAAAAAAGTAATGTTGAATGCACAGCGTTTGAGCCATCACAATTTGAGCAGTGGCTCTATCCTTGATTTTATTACTGGTGTCCACTGGCATCTGTGAAGAAGGGCTTGCACTACTGCTACAAAGACAGGGTCTTCTGATGGCTGTGTGGAACCAGCCATGGTGGCAGCAGGTTGGCTTTCTTCCCTTTATTCCAGCTCGATAGTAATTTCTCTTTCAATTTAACCTCAGTTCCTTCCCACTATCCTGTTCTGCTTTGCTCTTAGCTTGGTCATGTGCCCCTCTGCCTCTTGGTTGTGTCCCCTCTCATGTGTTCCTCATCTCAGCCTGGCTTCAACTCTGCTTCAGTTTGGCCTTGGCTGTTTTTTCAGTCTTGTTCTGTTTCCCTGGAATTCTTTTCCAGTACTGCCCCAAACACTAATAATTTAGACCAGCTGCCAGCCTACCTATGTCCTAAAATTGAACTGAGCAAAATATTTACTTCGTTTGTTTCAGTTTTTCATCATTTTGTAGATCAAGATATTTTCAGACTTTTAAAAACAATTTTATATGTGCAAACTGAATAAGCATGTTGTTACTTATCAGGTCATATGGAAACAATTGCTATATATATGAAATAGAATTGGCCAAAATTCATTACATCTAAACAAAAAAGTAATTAGAGTGATTTATATCTTCTTTAAAAATATTATATGCAGTACTTTACAAGATTTAATTTTTTTATAGTGTTAGCTCGATAGCTAGTTAAGTAATATACAAAGCTCAGTTTTCTATGCAACATTTTTTTTCTTGTTTGCTCACCTGATTAGTTTGACTTTATCTGGGATAGCTCTAGAAAGTCCAAATTCCTTTTTTAATAATTTGCATGAAAAGTATTTTAAGGTGAAAAAAAAGATATTTCAAGTTACGAATTGTACTATTACGGGAGAAAAATATTCATCAGAGAGAAGTAGGCAGCAGAAATGCAGTTTCTTTCCAATTCAGAACGAAATTGGAACATGGGAGGTTCTAACAAAACTGTGTAGAAACATTGTTTTGTTGGACTAGAACATTTCAGTTTGATTACGCATTTCAAGTGTTTATTCTGGTTTTGTATCCACTTATGATGTAAATTTTATGTACATGTTCTATGGCACACTTTCAAAAATATTAAACATATGTTAAAAATTTGAAAAACAGAATTAAAACATCCTATTCTAAAAATAATGGAGTGTCTTAATACTGCCTGGGCATTTTTTAATGTATTTTTTTTCTTTAAAACAGAATTTTGGAGACAACTACCGATTGCATTTCAAGGAAATCATGTTTTTTCTATAGATATCTGTTTATCAATATTTTGGTTATAGCTTTTCTGTACATTTATTGTTTAAAAAAACCCTATCAACACAAACAAAAATATGAATCCCCTTATGTGCTACCAATACCACATCTGCTGCCCGTTAGTCTTATACAAAAAAGACTCAGTAAACTCATAGTGTGGCAGTACCACAAAGGAAATAAAACTTGGATATCTCTGAACATGGAAATAGTCTGGTAGTTGAGTCATGAGACAAAACATTACAGAATTTAGAAAACTTATTATAGGAAAGAAACTTCTTGTATGTTTTCTTTAAAAAAAAAAATGTTTAACTTCATTTCTATCCAATAGAACAGTTTTTGGTGTTTATGCTTGCTTAGAAGAGATTAAATATTCTCTGATCTTTCCATCGCTTTACCTAAACGGTATGAAGCCTAGCATAGATTCACAAGCAGGTGCACAGATGGGTTACCAGTCTGGTTCTGAATGCATCCACCTTATGGAAACACTTGATGGTTATTTAGCAATGTCCTGTGTCAAATGCAGGGTTTCAACAGTGGTTGTTGGTCTGAAAGCTCTGTATCAGCCAAAGAAATTTAGACACCTTTAGATGGCTGGGACTAAAGGATGCCTGTGTTGTACAGGACTTTTCTCATTGCTGTTGAGCCCTAGTTGTGGATAAGCAAAGACATCTTTGAATGGCTGAGTTATGATGTGATATTCAGCTGGATTATGCTTTCATTAGCCATTTGTCCAATGAATATGAACTATCTCTTCATATTGGCTGTTAGGTTAGTCTAACTATATTGTATCTTTCACAACCCGGCATTTTTAAAATAAGCAGCAAAATTTCTCTTTTATCTTTATTTGCTCTTCTGCTGTGCCTGTTGCTTCAGGGCCTGGCTCGCTTTTAAGCCTGATGGTGATAAGGATATACAAATTTGGCTAATAATTGTAAACATGGTCAGTAGTTTCTTTTATTCTAGCCTAGTCACTTCAGAAGCATGCGTCTGTGGCTCACATCTTAACAGATCTGGATCGCATGTGTCTCTCTTGGGAAAGGGACCCAGTGAATTCAGCTAAGCTAGTCATAAAGCTTTCCTGTAGTTAAGGTAGTAAGGGTGATGCATTCTATCTTATAGTATAATTAGGCTTTAAAGATCATTATCTATTAGCATACCAATCTTTGATTCCAGTAGTACTTATTTCACGTTTCTGTTGTTATTTTATAACCATGGTCTATTTATCTGCAGTAAATTATCTTGGACAAAGCATGATCCAAGTGCATAGAAAAAAGCATGAGTAATATGTGTCTGTCCTCCTATAAATCACTGCCCTTCAGTGTCTTTCTCTGTGGAGAGAAGCTTCACTGTGGCAGGTTTTCCCCATGCATATCGACAGAGATTTAATCTTTGGCAGCAGTTGATCATTTTCTTAATTCACAGCAGGCCTTAAAAACCCAGATATGATATTTTCTGCCTCCCTAATGGTACAGCTGTTTATCTGTCACTAAGTAGCATGCCTGATCTGCCTGGCATTAATAAACAACAGTGATTTACCGCTGATGAGGTATCAGTACTGTGATTCAAATCTCAGCAGGTGCAACAAAAAAGGATTTCTGCTCTAATTTACACTGGTGCAAATAAAGACTAGATCAAATTAAGTCTTAACAGCAATAGCAACAGTGCAGGAGCCGGACTGAGAATCATTTTAAGTCTTCTGTTAAACCACTGTGGGGTTGTTCCTGTAATTGCCATAACAGACCCATAAACAGACCAAAACTTCCCAATAACCTGTGCTGGGTTTATGGCAATTTCAAAAGATATTATTTCCCAAGATATTCTTTCCTCAGTTTTAGAGAAATATATGTTTTATGTATAGCTTATGAATCTGACAATGCATTCCCATTAAAAAGAGTTACAATAGCATATCATGAAAAGGAAACTGCAAATGTACGATTAGTTTTCACAAGTTTATGACACTGCAGATTTTATTTTTTATTTTTGTACAAAATATTTATCAAATTAAAATCAGGAGAGGGTTTTATAGTCTTGTAAGGCCATGTAAATTATATTTAAAAAGTTTCATTTTGAATGCTAGCTTTGTACTATGAATAAATGCTGTTGGCACGACATGAAATGCAATATAAGAAACTCACAGATGTTATGCTCCATTTTATAACTTAAACAAATGTGCTTCAGGAAGATTGTGAATGGAAGTTTAGAGAAGGATTGATCCTTAGAGAAAAACTGTCTTATCTCAATGAAATTTATGTCAAGTCCAGGTCAACTAAACATTAAACAGCATATAAGTATTTTATATTATATTTCATTTGTTGACTGTAAAAGTTTCATAAATGTTTGATATTGGAAGAGTTCTGCACCATTACATAAACATCAAGAATTAAAAGATAGTTTTAAGTGATGACATTTTTTAAAAGTTGCTGTGATTGCTGTCTGTCTTGTATTTTCTGGAGTGAAATATTAAACCTGCGAAAGTCTGTAAGAGAATTTTACTAACTTCACTAGTACCAGAATTTTACTTATAATACTCTAATTGGAACTAGGGAAACATCAAAATAAGGTTGAGATACATTTTCAAAAATGATTGCCTGAAGTCAGGCACCTACAGCTTTATTCTTCCACACAAGTGACCTGATTTTCAGAAATGCTGAGGATAGCATGATTCCCATTAAACCATTGAGGACTGAGTATGTGGAGCTCACTAGGATCCAGTTTACTTAAATGCCCAAATATAGATGCATGTGCCTAGCTTTAGGCACATATATTTAGAATTTTACTTCATTTTTTTTCTGTAACTTTTCTTAACCAAACTACTCATTTTTAAGTGAGTAAAACTGGTTCTTCTCAGAATTTAAAACCAGAAAACTTGAATGTCTAACAAATCCCATTTCCTAGTTAACCAGAGGCTTTCACTCTTAAGTCCATTAGTTGTTAAGTACCTTACCAGTGTGATCATGCGAGCCTTGATCTTTAATAATAGTCTTTAAACATTTAAACTTTTAGGTTTTGATAAATTTTCATAATTTAGAATTAATTTTTTGAAAGTGATTTGTATCTGACACTGAAGTAAAAAAAAGATGAATGCCATAATCCTAAACTTTGAAATCAGATCCTAATGCTATGTCTATCCAAATCAATTGTGTGTTATGCTGGGATGAGTTTGAGTTCATCAGAATACGTTTATTGTAGGATATAAAGGAACTTCCGAATCAGAACTTTTGTTTGGGAATTGCTTACGATAAAGCATAAACCAGATTGGAATTACTGGTTTTCAGATAACTGTGCCACTGTCACTGTAGCAAAATATGCTCTCGTTCTTTTATCTGTGAATTGAACAGCGTATTTGCAAAACGTAGAAATGTGATGGGAAAGTGACAGCCTGAGTCACTTTTCTGACCACTATGTAATGTAATCCAGTCTGAGACTGTATCCTAACTTACCCTGTTATGCCTAGATATAATGCAGAACAGATGTAAAAATTGTCAGTGCATGCTGCTAGGTTCTGTAGTACATAGACACAAAGGCTTAAAAGGCTTTTATATAAATCCACAATTAGGATTCAGTAAAACCCCTTGAAGTCAATTTTTGTTGAACCGTATCAACAGTTTATCACTAAACTCTCTCATTTCCTACCTTTCCTGTCAAAAAATTGGAAGGCTTAATTTTGTGATTTAGTTTCTTTTTGCGAATAATAGATTAATAAAATAACTCTGTGAAAATGGTCAGACATAAAAGCTTTCCTGGACATCCTGTTCTGAGCTTTAAATCATCATCCTGCTTGATGTGCTGTTGGAGCAATGTACTGCAGCTCGCTCTTGTTGTCAGGCTGGCTCTGTTTAGGCTGCAAAATTTACCTGGACATTCACATTTGCAAACTGACTACCTGTCAGATGAAGCTTGTTTTGTTAAAAATCAGTAATGTCAATCTATAAAACAATCAGCCCTTCAGTGTTTGAAGTGTTTTGTAGGAAAATGGTGATTCACTAACTGCGTTCTGCTCATGGAGCTGCTTGAACCATAACCAAATAATATGCTTGGTGAATAGTTCATGCTTCATTAATCTGGAATTTATTGGTAAAATAATATTATTCAACCCTTTTTCAAATAACCGTGAAGCCCACCATTTTTGTGTGCTTAATACATTACTGTTGAAATTATCATCAGTTACCCTGAAATACCATAGAAACTGTCTAATAAATGTGATGGATTGTGTAATTAACTCTTGATCAGCACCGTTTTTCAAATATGTTACCCAGTGATCCTGAGGGCATTTTATGACCTTCACACTGGGTATACAGCTAATTACTCCTTGGGCAATAATTATTAAGGTTTTTTAGTCTCAGTTTGTCATTTTGTCTTATAAATTATTATGCTATTGAGCTTCTCAATCCATTTGGCTATAAAACTGCCATTCTCAGAGGGCTCCCTAAATTGTCTTGTGATTGTATGGATTACACCAACTTCATTAAGTAGATTACAGGGATGTCTGTTTTGTAGGTTTTCCATCGATCGGCATACTGACCTTGAGAGGCAGTTCAACATTAATGCAGAAGACGGAAAAATAACTTTGGCAACGCCACTGGACAGAGAAACAAATATGTGGCACAACATAACTATTGTAGCTACTGAAACTAGTAAGTATTTGTGTATACTGACTTTCAGTTCTGTTAGTTTTAGAACTCATTTTAACAGCATGTGCAGTAGAAGCTGTATACAATTCAGTAAGAAGTAAAAGACATTGGATTTTTAAATTACATAATTTTTGAAAGACAACTTAATTTCTGCTGAAGTTCCATTTCTTTTAGTTTTAAAACTACATTTTTTTTCAGTGAATATAGTAGTGTAGATTTTTAAGAGATACAGGAATACAATTATACAGGGTATATAGGGTAAATGTTAAAAAATCTTTTAAAAAACAAAACAAAAAACAAAGCCTTATTTTAGTTAGTTATATTAAGACAGAAAAAAAAATAATACTTTGCTGTTGTAGAAGTGAATCGTAGACTCAACCCAGAAGTTCTTAACGCTGAGTGATGCTATATTTCAGTACCATAAATGATTAAGCACATGGGTAATGTTGCATGAAAGTAGTCCTGTTTGATACAAATGAGTGAATTTACTCATATACAGCTATAGACAGGAACGCAGATTGTTCAGAGCCACAAAACTGTTGTGACTGATCTGCACACCTAAGTCATTGGGAGCCAGGAGCGTCACCTTCTCTGGGAATATGGGGCCTAGATTTCAATCAAAAAGAATTCTTGATTAATTTGGAATTGTAAGTGCTGCTGACAGGATCACATATGACGATAGAATTTATTATTAATATTGGCACTGTATTTTAGACTATACATTTGACATAAACACATTGCAGCGAAAGAAGTAGGTCTGTCATCCCTTGTCAACATCTTAAACGAAACACAAACCACGGAAATGTTTCTGCTGACGTATCTATTCTGCAGTCAGTGTATATGCATCATTCCCATACGTGGATACACACTTGACACATCATTGTAAGGATATTTGTCTTCAGAGCCTGATGATCACTGCTGCTAATTCTTGCGTGTAGAACACAGGGTGATGCTAATGGTTGCTTTTCCCCCAGAATGTCTTTTTAAAAGGCTGTGGTATTATGATACAGAACTTTTATACTCACGTTCAAAATTCTGTAGCTATGAACATAATGAATGGGACAATAAAATATGCTTATTTGGCCCACTTTTGTTCAATAGTTTTCTGTGGTACTTGTTTTCAAAAATAAACATGTTAGGAATCTGTGACAGGTAACCGAAATGCGTACATAAATGAAAAGGGTCTGAGCATAAACTAAGCTCATAGCTTACAGCCCCTGTAAACTGTATTCCTATGACCTACCTTAATAATATGTGTATTTCATTGCCAGCAGTGCAGTAGTGCCAACAGTGCCCTGTTAATTACTGTTAAATCTTGCAGGCAAACACTACTTCAATAAATCAGCAAGAATACTTTCTGCTTGCAGGAAAGCTAAGCTGACACAGGGTATCAAACTGTGTAAGGAAGGAAAGTAAGCTCTGGTTTTACAGGGCATATTTTGCCCAGGTTATTATCAAACCAGTTGATAATTTTCATGTTTTTAGTGGAGAAAAATATAAAATTTCCATACCAATTTTCTCGAGACATGAGGAATGTTAGATGATGAGATTTACTAATGGCATGGAAAGTGGAATTATTAGTTTGTGATCCAAAATTTTCAGACGTTGGAATAGTAAGATGTAAAGTGAAGTAATTTTACATTTTGTTTCCTCCAAAAAGTCAAAAAAGAGCAAAAGAAAAGAAGGAAGTTTCAAGAATCTCCTGCAATTCGTTTTTTGGTCTCCCTTATATGTGTATGTCAGAGCAAAGTTAACAGACATGCACTTCACTAAGCACATCAGAATCAAGCCTGCCTGTTGCCTCTTCAGATTTTTAAAACCTAATTACACTCCAAAATTTTTTAACAAATCAGCCTTGTCATTCGACTTCATGGGAGCCTCAGAATCTATCACTATTGTAAAATTGCCTCTTATCAGACTGGTTACAAAAATAATAATGCCAATCTTGTTCCAAGCATTTGCATTCCATGATGGCTTATTTTTGCATTCCTAATATAATTATTTGACATTTACATAAAACAAGAGCTTAATTTCATAGACTACTATCTTTGCTTATTTAAGAGAAATTATTTTTAAACTCCTCGTGCAGAAACTAAATTTGTTCATAGAACTGTCAAGCAGGGTAAAATGGGCATTTTTAGATTTTTTTTTTTCCAACACAGTAATAAGCAAAATCTCTCTTATAAAATAACAGAAATCTGTTGGAGGCAGACACAAGCAGCAAATGAAGATACAAAGCGTGTCATTATGATGCTGTCACTGACAGTAATATTAATGGACTGCTGATCTCTCCCACAAAAATAAATGTCAGCATCATTTGTACAGGAGCGTTTTCTCTTCCTAGGCCAGCTGCTTTCCAGGTTCGGTTCAAGGCTCACCTCTGTTCCTGTGGGGCAATGATCAGCCCATTTCACTGCCGTTACACTTGCTTACTAATCATAAGCCATGATACTCTTTTTTTCTTCTTGATTCCCAGCGTGGTAGATCCTAAATATATCCCGATTTATCAACACTTTCATAGATAAACACCAAGTTTTCCCAAAACATAAATAGCTATTTCAGAACTTCATGCTGGTAAGTTACCTGCAGCTACATTTTTGCTTTAAGCACAGGTAATTTTTGGCAGTTTTCTGCTGTCACCATGACAGTTATTCTTTTGTATCATCCCTCAGCCACTGTCTCGGGCAGGTATCTTCCAAGGCAAGAGTGGTCCGACTTAACTGAGCATAACTACTTCTGCATTTTCACCTGGCTTGAGGATTAAGAGTTTTAGATTCAAACTGGCTGATCTCTTTGAAAGCAATCAGATTTAGAACATGTGTGGATAATTCCAAACATGCTACTTTACACATCTGAGGGCCCCAAAATGTGGACTTAACCCTTTCATGTCTAGCAAAACTAGAAATTGCAAACACAAAAGAATGAGCCAGTGGGGACTGTGACTCTTTTCTGGAAGTACTTAACAGGTAAAAGACCAGTTTGGGGTTTTTTTTTTAGAAGAAGGACATTTTCTTTTCCATTTCATAGGCAAGTGTCTGGCTAGTTCTAACTCAGAACACATTCATGCTATTGGTGACAAATGGTATCACCATCATATTCCAAGACCTGTGCAAACCCAGGCATTTTGGAGGATGGCATTTCTCTCCTTTCACTTTCCCATCACTAGCAGACTCATTCCAGCCTCTGTGAATAAGCAGACTCATTCCTACTTTTCTTCTCAGGTGGTTAAACTAGCCAGACAGACTAAGGAAAAGTTGCCTTGAGTGGGTCTTCCTCAGAGAGTTGCCCCAACTTTTGTGTTGCCTCTCGTTCTCAAAATACGTAGACAAGTTGCATATAGTTTTATGCCTCCTGTTTAAATCACAGTAACTATATTGCAGACTGGTTGCATGCCCCCTAGACATAATTTGTCAAATATCCATTGAAATCCTTTTTTTTTGGTTATGAAAGATGAAACAATGCAAAGAGTGGCCAGTGAAAATGCCTGGACTGAAAGTGATTAACATGGTCCAGGTGATAGTCAGATGGCAGTTTCAGTATTTCAGATTTAGTTATACATTTTCCATGAATTTAGTGAAAAGCCAGTAGCTAAATTCCTTCTGCAGCTTTGATCCTCTCAACGACTACCCTTCAATCTGTCTACTCTTAAATGTTCCATTCCTTTTGCACATTTTTTTCTGTTATATGATTTCTTACACTTTTTTTTCTTATATTGTCAAATTAATTTTTGCGTCTTTGTTGTTCACCTTTTTTCCTCTCTGGTCATGTAGTGACTCCTTTATGTTGATGAATTCTGTCACGTGGGTTTTTAAAAGAAGAGAATATTACAAAGAACTTTGACCTTTTTGAAAGATCACTCTGAAATACAGGCTTCGGATTCGCAGAAGAAATATATGTATTAGCGCTCATGGCAAGAGGGGTGCTGAAAGTTATTGCACCTACGAATGGGTTCTTAAATTTTCTTTCTACATTGCCATACATCCAAGTTTACTCTGCTGACTGGGTCAGGAGCAGGAACATCTAGATGATTACAAGCTAGAAGAAGCAGGCTTGCTGGCAAAATGACCTTTCCCTGAGAACATACCTTTTGGTCTGTGGGTGTAAAAGCTGAACTTTGTTTTCAGTCACTGATTCAGGACTTCAAATACTGGACTAATGAGATTTCTCATTGTTTTGTTGTGTAGTTGAGACTTATGTGAGCTTAAAATTGTGTGCTGAGGTTGGGAGGTTTATTTTAGCTAGATGCTTGAGAGAATGGGGGTGGATATAGCCTTGCTTTGTAAGTCAGGGCTGATTATGCTGCTTGTATGTTTGGGCTCTCTGGAGCTATGCTCTGAACAGGAAAGGAATCTGAGGGCATATGCAGGTATTCTCTGAGAGCCTGAATTGCAGTGCAGTGAGAATGACTGATTATCTTCCAGACGTTTCTTTTGGTGCATCTTTTTTGTATGTACAAAGGCTCATCACATCTTTTGTTCTTTGGTAGTTTTTTGAAATGGAATTTTCTGCCATTCCGTAAAATCTAGTAAAGTCAGGATCCTAATAGTGATACGTGATGCCGTTCATCTGAACACACAAATACATTTTTTAGTTTGTATAACTTAAAATTGTAGCTATAACTGCTGTTCACATTGGCATGCTTGTGTTTCTTGCATTAACTGGTTAGCAGTTTTGCTGGGCAGTGAAGCAGAGCAGAGTTCAGGCTGGGCTAACCTCTCCTCAGTAGTCTCTGTTTCTTGTACAAGTTTTGCAGTACGTACCAAGTTATGTGTTGTCAGTGCTACTCAGCTACTAAAAGAAAATCAAATAGCCATGATTTATTTATTACAACACTTTTGCTACAGTTTGCACAGATTCTGAATGAAGTTCAGAATCACTGATCATTCAAGCTATCGTTGTCATACATGTATAAGGCATATAGTAATTAAACTCTATCTTCTTTCTGCCTCCAGCTCCATGGATTTCTATTTCCATTTTTGAACGGCTGTAACAGCCACATTGCA